ATTATTTATAATTTTAAATTAATTTATTTTAATCGTTTTGAGGCTTACGCCTCGATCCGCCTCGAGGCTTACGCCTCGCCTCGCTTAGAAAAAACGCCTCGATTCCCGATTTCGCCTTTTAAAACCTTGCTCTAAACAATCCCTACATTCAAATTTCCCTCCTAACTCACTCAAAAATCCTTCCTAAATTGCTCCGTGGGATTTGCGGTTCGGTCGGCAGCACAGACAGGCAGAAAACGTCCGCCTGTTTTGCGTGATCTGGTCCATACTGGACCAGCTGGACCGGTCCAAAGGACAAGTCTAACAATACTCCCCTCCCAAAGTTCCACCTTGTTCGAAGGTGGAAAGACAACACCCTCATTCATTCCTTCATCGCAAACGGTAAGAACCTAAAGAGTTCAGTCCTTACACCTATGCCCTGGTGTATACCTCTTTTCACATCTGAAATAGATCCCCTTCGCCTTCTTCTCATGTAATTGTGTTTCTGTGAGCTTCTTGAAGTTGTCCTCAGGTCTTCCTCCGGTAGTCTTCTCCTTTGAAGTCTCCCTAAGAGTACTCAGTGTAGGCTCCTTGGGTGCCAACAAGGTGGTGGTCATCCTGTACGATCCTGTTGAGCTACTGCCTCAAGTGTTTCTCTCCAGGTGCCTCTAATCCTCCACCAACTGAGCTAGTTCCATAGCCTCTCCCAAGTCATGAGGCCTCATTACTCTAATCGTTGCCCGGATCTTTGGTGTCAGTCCCTTTATGAAATTTCCCTCTAGTCTCAAGAAGGCAGTCCAATCGGCTAGCAAGGTACTCAAATCTCTCCCGATACTCTGTCACTGAACCCTCGTGTCAAGGCTAAAAACTGCTTATAGAATTCTCCTCCCCTGCCAGTTCGGAAACGTTCTACCAAACAATCCTTGAACTCTCTCTAACTTCGTATGGGTCGTCGCATGTCCCTCCACTAATACCAAGACAAAGCCTTCCCTTCTAAACATAGGCCCACCTTCATCAATATCTCCTCCTCTGTCAACACATTGAAGACAAAATATCTTTCTAACTTGTAGATCCACCCATGCGCATCCGCCCCCTCAAATATTGACATCTTCAGTTTCCTCACCCTCGGGTCACACATGTTTCCCCTAAATCCTCCATAACTCCCCATTCCTCGAAGAGGAGGTGCTCCCCAATTGTCATGATCTTCCCTCCGACGATCATACCCAAACCCTTCATCAAAATCCCATCTTCTTATTTCAAAATCAGCACCCTAACGATCGAAATCATCCACTCTCCTTACAAATTCAGCACCCCTTCTTGCGTAGCCAATGCTCATCTCCTCCCCAGAAAGTGGTTCCAGATGAGGCATTCTGTATTCTCCCTCCAGGATCTCCACTTCTGAATTTTCCCTTCCCCTAAACGTGTTAGAGTTCTCATCTCTTCCATGGCCACCGGTAGTTCCTTTTCTTCCGATGTGACCGATATGGTTTTGGTTTCAAGCAATTTCCTCCACATGTCTTCCACCATGGCAAACTTTTCCTCCATCCTTTCATTGACGAATGCAAACTGATTTTGAAAATCAGCAATCTTCTCCTCAATATCTGCTTTGAGTTGTCCAAGTTATCCCTCCAAAACTTCCACTTTCCTTCTGGCCATGGGTTCCCCTTCGATCGACGTGTTCTGATACCAATTTGATAGAAAATACTTGTAGATCTCAACTTTTTCCTATCAATCTTCGGAAAACAACGAGAATTCTCCACAAAAATCCGCACAAAACCACAAAAACAGTAAATAATTTGTATTATTTGAAGAAAGGTGAACAGAAATAGGAAGATACAACTGATCCTCTAATCGAGAGGAGGATCTATCTCTCTCAAATCTCTATACGCCGCTAGAGCCCAAAAGAAAACCTAAATCTAAGATATCTCAAATTTCAGCCAAATTCAAGATGCCCTAACCCTAGGAAAACAAACTATTTAATGCATACAATTCAAAAGGAAATCTCTAAACAATCCATACATTCAAATTTCCCTCTTAACTCCCTCAGAAATCCTTCCTAAATTGCTCCGTGGAATTTGCGGTTCGGTAGGTAGCACAGACAAGCGGAAAATGTCCGCCTGTTTCGCATGATCTGGTCCATACGGGACCGGCTGGACCGGTATAGCAGCTTTATGATTATAAATGACCTAAATATGAAAATTACTATGATTATATGCAAGTTAGG